TTGATGCTTATATACTTGTCCACCATAAATACCTTCTACAATCTCATTCTTCTTTATATCAAAATGAGTCAACACATCAGACATTTTATGTCCTTTCTTACCCTTCACACTTTGTTATATATTCACAATTTCACTATTCATTAGAATTTTATCACCAGTCTCGTGATTACTTTGTTCTTCCAAAATCGAATCCATATATAATTAATCATCTATTATATATATAAAAAATGATATTATGCAACATGACCTCAAAGTTAATATACAAAAGAATATTAATGTTATAAAAAAAACATTAATCAATCACGTTATACAAAAATAATGTATTATGTGCAAAAAACATTGCTGTCACTGACTGCATTATTTTGTGCAAAATTAACATACAAAAAAAAAAAAAAATTATTTTGTGCAATTATTTCTTGAAGGAAATGTTTGTTTTGAAAAAAATTCTAACTAGTCATCTAAATCAATACAAATCTTAAAGGAAAAACAGATCCTGAAACCCAAGAATATCATCAAAATGCCAAAACTTTTTTTTTTTTCCATTATTTAAATCAATGTAAAAAGAAATTAAGAAAATATGTAGAAAGTTAACAAACAAAACATCGTACATGAACATGAATTAAAATAACGAATCAATATATAAAAATATAAATAGTAGAAATTTACGTACATTTATTGTTAGAGTTTGAAAGAGAGAAATAACCTAGAAGTTAATTGAAAGTACCAGGCACGTATTAAAAGATTAAAGATTGGATTTAAATTTTAAAGTTGAGATGGGTATTCAATTTAATTGGATTAGATCTACTATGAAGGTATCTTTTAATTGTGATGCATTTGGTTTTAATTGGGTTGAATAAAATTTAAATTTAAAATTGATTTTCTTAAACAGTTTGACTGTTTGAAACGGTTTGAAAAAATTAAAATCTAAACCAAAAAATTTCAAAACGGTTTGGTTCGGTTCGGTTGAAAACCAAAATGTTGACGAATCCACGTGGATCCAAACCAACGGTTTTAAAAAAAAAGGTTTCCATTCGATTTGGCAGTTTGACGATTTCGTTGTTCAGCCCTAGTTACATCGGACATTGTCATAGGATGGTTGTAGGAGGATTAGAGGTTAGTCGGTTGCTTCATAAATAAATACATTGAGACTCTACGCGGTTTAGGGATGGCAACGGTTCGGTTCGGGATCGGTTCGGTCAAAATCATAACCGCACCACCAATTTTTTAGCCATACCATAACCGTACCATAACCACGAAAGTCGGTTCGGTTTATATCTCGGTTCGGTGCGGTTCGGTTCGATTAATAATCACGAAAATAAATTAT